GAAGGAAAAGAAACAAACGGACTGCCAAGCGTGTCTAACCATTGTTTCTGTCGTTCCCTGCCACCAGACGAACTTTTGAGGTTCGTGAATTGGACTCTAGAGCACGTGTTAACCTCGATTCGACAAATTTGTTGGTCACGTTTTTCTTTTCAACTTCAAGTCAAGGTCCGAACTTCTTCTTCACTCCTACCACTCCTACTCTGCCTAATACCCCTCTCAGAAATCATAACACAACCCGCGAAATTCGCAGCCCAGCGTATCTGTCCTGTCCAACAATGCTCGCGTGCAGGTCGTGCATTCCACCACGTACACAGCCAGCGCGCCTGTGGTTCGTCTCGCACAATACTTTGTGCATGAAACTCCTTGGCTGAATGTACGCGTACGTGAGTGTTTACTTTGGCAGTTTTGTTGGTTTTTTTCTGGCTTCGCACCATTCCTGGGTTTCCGTTCATTCGTCTTTTACATTCATTCTAGTGTCCGAATTTGATCACGACACCACTAGGATCTGTCTAACCACTATATTTTCCGATTGAACCACCTTAACTCGTTATCACTTGGAATGCTACCTATTCTTTTCTTCATCTCGAGGCGTCCGTAATGGGTATTGCTGTGCACTTTTCATGTTAGATCCGTAAGGATTCGCATTCTCCTTCAATGTTCACTTACCGCACGTTTATATCTTATCCCCCACCACACTTTCACCTCCCGTTTGGCACCTGTGCGCATTGGCTCTTACTTACTAGCTTATCTCTATCAATAGGAGCGTGGTTCTCGCATACGCACTATCGACACTCAAAGTCAAACATGTGGTCGTACTGGGGCATTACGGATGCGGAGGCGTAGCTGCCTTCAAGTTTATGCTCCCGTTCCAGTCCCCACTACAATCACCAACTGTAAGATGCGGAGAAGCAAGGACTGCAGTTCAGTCCTGCAAATTTGGCGGTCCAGAGCTGGATACATAATATTCGGGATTTGTATGAGACGTCTGAGCGGTTAGCACTTTCCTTCTCTTTTCTCTGTTTTGTGTTGTTTTGTTTTGTTGATGTGGAGATGGGTTGTAGGGAGATTGTGCGCCATCGGGAAAAACAACCGTGCATGGAGGAGTTGCTTCATTTACATTGCTGTACGTTTGTCAAGCACCCGTTTTCATGGACAAGTGCTGAGATTTATTTTGCTTAGCTGCGTTCCAGGCTCTAGTGGAAGAGAATGTCAAGGCAAACGTGAAGAGGATCAGTGATTCAGCGTTGATTCGACATGTGAGTCACTTCCTTTTCCCATTGTTTTGTTCTTCGCGGATTAATAAAAGTAATCAACAGCACTACGCCCATGATCAAGGCGCAGTGTACATCCATGGCTGGGTTTACGACGTGGAGAGCGGAGAGGTGTCTAATTTGGGCGTCTCCGCTGGTCCGCCTGGGAAGGAGGTTCCGCCCACGCCGTTTCCTTTGGTTGTTTCATCGGCCTTTGGTAAATAGATGTACCCAGTAAATTTGGGCAGTATACCGATCCGTTTGTAACGGAAGGATTTTCATAGACTCATTTTTTTGGGTTTATGATCAAGTTACTCTTGTCCGGCTCTACTAATGAAGTCACGGTGTTCGCGGTAAGTATCAATCCTTCTTGGTGGTAGGCTGGTAAACTTCCGTGGATATGTGCTTGCTCTCCGGCTGCCAATGGCGTTGGGTAATTGATAGCGCGAGTGTCGAAGCTCGGAAGAGAGGGTTTGCAAATTAGGCACGCATGCAGATGTACAACCCCAACCCATCCATCGCGCCCGACCCTCACTTAAGGATTACAAGTTTACGTCGAACAACTGGACGGTGTCCGATGCGGAGCATGGGAGACTGAGCCTAACAAAATTCAAGTTGAACTAGGGACTAGTTCCCTGATAAAAATATAGGATTCCAATAGGCTACACGAGATCAAGTCCACCCATATCCGCACCAAAAATAATATCATGTATTCCTGCCGCAGAATGTCGTAAATCTGGAAAGAAGAAGCCCGTTAATGAAGCCATGAACTCCGGCCCAAAAATTACTGACCGCTAGAATCAGGCACATATTCCAGAGTCGCCACGCCCCGACGTATCCAGTGGCGGTTAGGCAGATCTAAGAGAAGGAGCGGCTCCCATTTGTCAACAAGAGCACGAGCTCTCTCCTTGAAATTGTAGGCCTCGACCTGAGGAAGACCGCTTGTCACCATATTGCCCACTTTCTTCATCACAATATGAATCCCGGAATGCTACAATGTCAATCGATCAAAGCTCAAATATACATCATCCACACATATTTTTTTAAAAAGACGCACATAAATATACTTGGCGTCCGAGAACTCATAGCTCTCCAGCGTCCGGAAATGAATCCCTAGCTGATGCGTCACTTTCACGTTCATCATCGCCGTATTCCACGAGCCTTCCCGACTAGGTGTCACCCAGTTAATCAGCTCCTTCTCAAGGTCCGCTCTCCATTCCCCAATCACCCCTCCAAGCTTTCCATCCACCTTATCCCAGCCTTCCAGCACGCACTGTGCTTCAAAACACTCAACTGCATTCGTGAATATCAGCGTTAGAGATTCCAGCGCGACGTTCTCCCTGCGTGAATGCCGACTTAGGATCATATTGTTGAGTTCCCTCACGGGCGTGTCCAGGTGGAGGACGAGCTTTCGGAGGCGGGGCACGACGGAGGGGATTCCGGGGATAGCGACGAGGCGTTCTAGGTCGTCGGTTGTGAAGTCATTGCATTTGAATTCGGTAAGAAAGGGAGTGAAAAGTAGAATCCTCGTGACACCGCCTTTGATGGGCAAGGAGTGTATGGAGAGCTTCTCCAACGCGCATATCGAACGGAGAGTTAGGTCGATGAGGTCGTCCACTAGTGAGGCGTCTAAAGACCGAACGTGGAGGTCGATAAGAGTGGGTAAGATGAGGCTTGCAATAATCGAGGTGCCCGATACCCATGGATTGTAGAAGTTGAGATGCAACGTAGTCATATTAGTGAGCGTTTTTGGTTGGAGGTGACCTTGGATAGAAACGATAGCCCGCGTAGAGTAAGAGAAATAGCTGATCTCGGAAGAGACGCTGAGGACCTGTATGACGCCGGTAGAATCCGTAGAGCGCTCTGTATATCTCGTCAATTGCTCCCAAGGAATAAGGAGCTGTACCCGCGGGCAATCGATTTCCACCTCTCGCAGCATGGGAGCGATGCTGAACGCTTCAAGGACATAGTCCTCATCGTGCGGCATTCGAACAGTTATTTTGAGTGAATATAAGGAGGTCAAACGATGCCGGATGAACTGCGTAAGTGCCATAAAATCACGCACTTCAAGATCCATAACAACGATTCGCCACCGCATGCAATGTTTGATGAGGAGTTGAAAGATGGCATGATCAACGACACCATTCTCGTCAGAAGAGATGTGTATAGAAAGCGGGTGCTCGCCTGAACGATGGAGGACCTCCTTCAGCACTGGAACAGTTTTTTCCCCGTTATCCTTCATTGGAAACCTTATCGGAGGGACAACACCCCAAATCTCCGGAAAAGTCAATGCAACAGCCCTCCATCGACGTGACACCTGAGCCAAGGTCCACGAGGGAACCGTCCAACACGGTTCCAAATCGTTCGCACAAAAATCGAAAATCTGCGCCAAGACCTCGTATGGCAACCGGCGTACCGGGGATAAGGGACCTTTGTGTTCTTCAAGGAAGTGACTGCAAGCGATGTACCGTTGTCGAACCTTTGCATCTCGTGGGTTGGTCTTGATTTCCTGCGCAAGCTCCGCGAGATCACTTTCGGCCTGGCTGATAGCATGTAAGATGCGAGCTACTTCAGTTTCGTTTGGCTGTCGGTTAGAAGCGCAGAGATCTGGTGTTGGAGAGGTTGGTAGAGGGTGTGATAGTTCTAAAGCATGTCGACCGAGTTTGGTTGGAATCTTGAGCTAATGAGAACCTAAGCGGCGTCCTTCGAGATAGAACAACACGACCTACCTTGCCCATACTCGCAATGCGGCTCGCGGACCAGGGAGGGATTGACGAGAGCGGGAAGCGCGGAGACCTCAGTTTGTCGCGCTTTTGACGTCGTGTATCGAAGGTGTTCCAATTTTGAAAGCCACGCCCGAGGAAATAGGTGTTCTAGAAATGGGATGAGCTGTCATTGGAATGAAATCTATCATTGAGATCCGGGTAGTTACCGTAACGGTTGGTCAACGGTCGTTTATCTATGCTGCGCAGCACCTCTTAGGCGCCTCCTTCCTGCCAGAAACTCCTCACGCCTAATCTGCAGGCTTCATATCACAATCCAAGGAAGCGCACGTCAGTCGACTCGTCTGCGCTGAGCGAGCTTATAACTCGATAGCTAAGGAACTAAGAACAGAGAAAAGGCTTGAAAAGGTGAGTGGACAGACAAGCCGTAATGAGCGAGATTCCTGACCTGCACAATAAGAGTAAATACAGTCACTTCACCAGGAGGTCCCGTGGATCTCCCATCAGCGCCCTTGATTCAATCCACTACATTTACGGACTCCTGTGGCTGATCTATCTCACGCAGGGGTTCATGACCTGGGGCCATACGGTCCGGGAAGAAGTCACTGTACGCTGATCCTTGGGCATAGCGCGCCAAGCTATGCAAGGAGGAACGCTGCGAATGCAGGCTATTTCAAGTAGCCGAGCATGCAACCCTCCACACGAGATTCCAGCTTCTCGAGCCAGGTATCCCGTTCTTTAAGAAGCGTATCGCATTCCCAAAGTGTTTCCTCGAGCTCCCTAGACTCCGTTCATTGAGTCGGGTGCTACACTCCTCCAGACGTTTATCCGAGTCCCTTGGTTGACCTTCAAGTAGCCACGCACGTGAATCGCCTCTTACGCAGACTTCATGCTATTTTTTGAGGGCCCTGTCCCGCTCTCTGAGCATCGCTTCAAGTTCTTGGACTTTGCGCTTGAGGTCAACGCGTATGATAGCTCCGTTGACGGGGGTGCTCCTCAGGGGTAGGAAGGAAAGAACTACCCGGTCGTTTTACGCCAGGCCATGGTAGTTCCTGCGTGGTACTGCTGCGGTTGCGGGTGACAATGGCGCCGGAGGAGGGAATGGGAGGAACGAGGTTATTGGTACGAGAAACGTTGTCGAGAGAGGTGGACGTGCGACCATCCTTCGAGCGTGAGATGGCTGCTGGTAGCAGTTGGAAATTGGGTGCTCTAGATGTCGACGTAGACGCGGATGGGATTGCCGCAGAATTCGAGGAAGGGGATCGTCTTCGTCGTCATCCAAATGCGACAGACTCTCCGAGTTAGATTTAAGCCCAGAAAGTTGCAACGGCCCAGCCGACGTTCCAGCAACGGGTTGCCCACAGCAGCCATAGACGCAAATCTAGCAGACCTCCTCTTCCTATCCTTCACCTTCTCTCCCTCGCCTTCCTCGTAGAGCCCTTCCTAGTGCTCGCCATTGCCACTCCTCGGCCTTTCCTCGTAAAGATGACTCGATACTGCTCGCAAGTCGCCCAGATTCCCAGCGACGGATTCCATCATGCACCTCGGACACGAACGATGTCGGTCTTGCCATGCTTTGCAGGTGACTCGTTCAACGTCGCAAATCCGTTTACTGGGTCCTGAGCACAGTATTTGCATATCTAATACAATGCACAACATCAACCTTACATCTAAAGCGAAAACGGAAGAAGAAGAAACAAACCGGATTGCCTAACGTGTTTACCCATTGTTTCTGTCGTTCCCTACTACCAGACGAGCTTTTGGGGTTAGAGAATAGGTTCTTGAAGTGATTGTACTTTGACATATCAGACTAGAGCGCGTCTTAGCATCGATTTTCTAAGAGAAGTTGGCTACTGGAGAATGTTGATG